GAGAGAGAGAGAGAGAGAGAGAGAGAGAAAAGTCTGAGAAGTGCTGATGTGATGCCATGTGTGTTATAATATATTTTGCGTTCCAGAAGCTGATAAAAATACACTGTCATTTTGCCTAAAGAAGCGGAGTAAAGTAATTGTTATCCTGATTTGACCGAGACTCCCAATAAAACGACTAGTTTGTTTATTTGTTAAAAACAAGAAATATTTCCAACAAAAATAGTAAATAGACTGGCGCCTGTCGTGTAGCTGTCAAGTGCTGTGCCGTAGCACGCAAAAGACCCGAATTTGATTCTCGTGAGGTAGGGATACTTATCGAGTATCTCGGTCTTTCTAATGGTACACATTGCATCCCTCTAAATCTGGGTTGGCCTGACAGGCGGGGTCCAAGCCCGCCTCCTAATAAATGATCTAAACTGTGTCAAATGGGGCGTAAATTACATACACTGTAAACTACAATTTTGTTCAGCTACGACAAACCATCATTGTTAGCTACCGAACCAGATCCCTCCTCTACACTACTCAAATACAGTCAAAACTGTCTAAGACTTCCACCCTTGGTCAAGAAAAGACGTAGCCGTTTTAAACAGGTGGACATCTTCTAAAGTGTTACAATAATGTAAAATATAAGCAAGGGAGGATATGGGAAGTGACTGTTTGTACAGGTGATTGTTTTATACAGGTTGCCGTTAGAGCAGGTTCGAAAAAAGCCAGCCCTGCCTTTCGGGTAGTTTGTACCACCGGTACTTTTTGCCCTCTTGCCCGTGGTGCGAATTACCCTACCAGGACCACACGAAAAGAAAAGTGCCTCCCTTTCCAGCCATGCTGTAAGTCTCATCAAGTCCGGAATTATATTAGAAAGGAAGAGACTGGTTGGCATTCTATGGCTGGTCCAGCTTGATATCTCTACTCATTAATCGAATAAACGCTCCCTACCCAGGTCAACAATAGAGAAAGTTAAAGAAAAGTTAAACAAATAAATAAAAACTGCCACCCCCCCTCCAAAAAAAGAAAACAACCCCCCCCACCCACCAAATAACCAACAACCCAACCCCCCCCCCCTCAAAAAAAGGAGAAAAAAACATTTAAAGAAACACAACCCCCTCCCCCCAACAACTTATCGTTCGGTGTTTTGAGACACAGCCGTTCCGATAGCATGGGCAAATAGACTATTTTGCGTTAGCATCAATATTATGTTAGGTTTGCTCGTGGTTGTCAGCATTATAAAATGCGAGAACTGCTGGTAGTATGAATTACCCTCCTGTTCTTATTAACCCCCTGTATCTCACATAAAAAGAAATAAAATAAAAGGTATTCCTGAATGCGCATTTCTTCAACAACCCAGATTATGTAAGAGGTTAAAGTCGAGTGGGGAAAAATGCTGAGCTTCTCAAACAGGCTATTTTCCAAAGTAGTATCTTTTTTTTTAGAACTGTCGGTTCACTATTTGAGTCTTAATTCTCTTTTTCCTTTTAGTTCTTAGAGCAGTTCTCTGTTCAACCTCAATTTGCGAGTCAGGCCAGAATTATGTGCTGCCGAAACAAAGTATTGGAGGTTTTAACATAATTACCTCCGCCTGAACCCTCTCTGGCGACAGTGCGATCTTCCAGATGGCGCGGTGCAGAAATCAGGGAGCACACGGAAACTGTAGTATATTGTCGGCAAGCTATGCAACTGTTCGAAGCCCAGAAAGCAACAGTTCTTCGGCGAGAGATTACACCACCTACCCACTCCACCCCAACAAACAAATAAAATAACACACCAACCCACCCATCCC